AAAAAACTGACAGCTTTGACCTAAATATGATTTTCAGTTACAATAATTAATCCTAAAATTCTACATTAGTAACTTACTTTTAACAGCATCAGACTCGCTCACGCTCACAAGATCTCCCGGTTCTTACTTGTGAGTTCAGTTCACTGGAGACTCGCACTAAACGGATCATTTGAATCAGTGAGTTGTCGACTCGAGAACAGCTGCAATCGGATCATTCCAATTCGTGAATGAATCTTTTGGTGCGATTTGCGAACCGATTTAAAAGGTTCATTGAAAAGAATCAGTTCGTTCATTAATCAGACACCGCTTCTGCGTCTCGGAGCACGTGATTATATTATAAGGAGTAACGATACGTTTTATGAAATGTAGTGAAGTAAAAAGTACGATCTTATGCTTTGGAATGTAGTGAAGTAGAAGTTACTCAAAATAAAACGACTCCAGTAAAGTACAGATACTTGAAAAATGTACTTAAGTACAGTAACGAAGTAAAACTACTCCGTTACTGTCCACCACTGGTACTAATGCGTTACCGCCAATCACACAGAGAACATTTTTCATTTAAAAACACCAGTTGCAGGTCAGATGGGGAAAAAACCCGTCATAAAGTCTCGAGATATGTTTTTTTCAAAGTTGAACTTGCATTTATTTTACATGGGTTTCTAAACATGCGGATCTCTTGTGCGAGACGCGAGTGCAACGGTGATAGATGTCCCTCTAGAAAGGTCTGTGTGAACGGCTTGGTTTCAGTTTTGACGTAAACAAGATCTTCTCCGCATTGATGTTCTCTTTACTAATGCGTTACCGCCAATCACACAGAGAACATTTTTCATTTAAAAACACCAGTTGCAGGTCAGATGGGGAAAAAACCCGTCATAAAGTCTCGAGATATGTTTTTTTCAAAGTTGAACTTGCATTTATTTTACATGGGTTTCTAAACATGCGGATCTCTTGTGCGAGACGCGAGTGCAACGGTGATAGATGTCCCTCTAGAAAGGTCTGTGTGAACGGCTTGGTTTCAGTTTTGACGTAAACAAGATCTTCTCCGCATTGATGTTCTCTTTTCCCGCAATATTTGTAATTAACAATGCAGCAGCACCGCATCTAGTGGCTTCAACTGGATAGGCTAACAAAAACATTAAAATGCAATGACACATCGTCATTGCATCTCCTGCTCCACTGATAAGGCTGCCTCCTTAACGCACACCTGAAATTCGAATGCAACGTTTTTGCATTCGAATGTGGATTTTTATTTTAAATTCGACGAATATTCGAATTTTTTGACAGCCCTAGCTTGTAGACCCTGTGGTTCTGTGGTGTAATACTTAAAAGCTAATATAATATGATCAAGAAGATAAGATGATTTCATTTAAGAATTTCATGTATTGTAGCTCCCTGTCGTTTATTGTCTCTTTGTTTGTAAATTGATTCAATGCAACAAAAACATTAAATAAATAAAATAAAATAGCCATGCTGAATGTTTCTTTTTATAAATTAAACAAAATGCAAGTGTTACACTTCTGATCTTGTCTTTTGATTTAAAGCCACAACACTTGCACTGAACAGCACAGATTTCAGTTTATTGTATGTCAAGTCTAACACAATGAAACGGAATGAAAATGAAATAAAAATAACAATAATAAAAACAGTAATAAATAAACACCCAGCTGCAACATGTTCTACTCACACAAAAATGCAGTCTAAGTAAAATAACATGGCAACCACCTGCTAATAAAAGAACATGTTATTGTTCCACCAAAATGAACTACATCTATAAACAGAGCATTTGTAAACCTCATAATAACTGCATGAAAACCAATGTTTTGCATTAGGATTAGAGGGTTAAAAGAATCTGATTAAATGATATGAGCGAATAAAACAAATTAAAGGCTGATGCATATTTTGGGTTGAAAAGCACAGTTATTTGACCAAGCCCTAGGTGTATTGTCTTCTTGTTTCTCTCATGTAATCCAAACGTTCAAAGTATTTGGCTGACTGAAGTACTTTACATCTAAAAAGAAAGGCCATTGTGGCATTTATTTACACAGTAATTAAAATGTTCCAGGTCCCAAACTCAGAACATGTAAGAACTAGGTAGAGTTGATGGGGAAAGAAGTCTCTAGGCAGGACTGTAGGCATATTTTCTTCCAAAATCTTCCAAAAGTAAATGTATCTGCAACCAAAATGTCTTTTTACAGAGAACAAGCCGTCTCAAAAAATGAACAAATAAAAAAAGAAATGCAATGTCCCTGATGAAGATTGTCCTAGAAATACTGCAATTAGTGCAATCTACCTGACATGGAAGACATGAAACATAAAAAATAGCGCTACATCAAACTGTACTTACAAAATCAGTGCAAATTGTAGACTGAGTAACACTGCACAATGAAAACAGTGTCTACCCCACTGTACTTATGCTTCCTTCCATTCGTAAAGAACACTCATCATGAAAATGGAAAAAGGGTGTGGATATCAATTAAACAGATATACACGAAAAATAATAATAATGAAAAAATAAATAAACAGCAGAAAATTCTGCTTCCCCCAATAAGGCAAAAATTCTAAAAAGACCAACAGTTCTTGGGGGGAGGCTTAATGAAGCCTTGTGTGTCTGGGGGAAAATTGACGAACACTTTTTCTAATCAGTGCTATTAAAAAAAAAAAAAACATTTAATTTTTAAAAAATGTAGAATGCAAAACTAGTCCATTTGGGAAAGTCAAAAATGCACCAGCAAAGTTTCTCTGTACCCTGTATAAATACTGTTATGCTTTAATTTAAAAAGAACAAGAACAACTGTTTGGATGTAAAATGAAACTCACATCACAAAATGAGATTAGGATTATAAAAACTAAAAAAGAAAAATGTAATAAAATGACTCTGCCTTAGAAAAAAAAACATTCGGCATCAATCCAAAATGCCTTTACACAAAAATCATGGTACCTTTCCACTTTACAAATGCTTCCATTAATGCTCCATTCACTTATTCAGGCAGACCCAGAAAGAAAAATGTTGTCAAATCTGTACATTAAAAATAAAAACAAAAATAGTACAGAAACAGAACTGGAGAGGACATATCTTGTCTCCACTCTCAATGTCTTGTACTTTACCTTTCCTTCCCATACAAGTCATTACCATTAAATGAAATATTGTTAGCTCAGTTATGACTACAGGTAGTCTTTAGCTTATTAATGAGCTGATTAGAGGAATTACCTAAATATGTATTTTATTTTTAAAGCCCACCTTTCAGTGCACATTTTACACCAACAGCAACTGGAAGGTAATCTAATACGAAATGTCAAAGAAACATCACAGAGCAGAAATTAGACTTCTATCAGCACTAAATATACCTAACTGATTTGTTTCCCTACTAAGTTTGTAATTGTTACCACTTGATAAATGACAAACCAGAGGACTTGCAGCACAATTCCAATTGAAAGTGAACAGTGTGTTTTGAGTCATTACATTGTTCAAGTTGTTGAACTGTTTCACAAGAAACAGCTGACATTCCAAAGGCAAAAATGCAAGTGTACACAAGGAGTAAAACTCAGTAAAATACACACGCACAAAAAAAAAACAGATGTATGTTTTTACATAGACTTCTCAATATCATCATACATGAACATTTTACTACTTCCAAACTACAAGGGGAGCTCCTCTCAACGCCTCTGAGCAGTAAAACGACCCTCACTAGAACCTGCGCCCCTCCCAGAGGCCATGCCTGGTTTAGGTACGGTGGAAACACGTGAAGGTGGGCCTCTGCCGTCACGGTCTCGCATCATGCTGCTTCCGGGAATGCCACGCGGCCCGCCTGGACCACGGTCACTACGCCTTGCGTCCCGTCGGTCTTCTCCACCTCCACTACGAGTTTCCCGCTCACGCATTGCCCTCGTCTTTTTCTCCTCCACGTTCAGACGTACCTCACCACGGAACATGATCGGCTAATCACAAATGAAATAGCGATGGGTCAAAAAACATTCTCTCAATACCATATCTTTAAAGTGAGTGCGAAGTGACATGTGGCCAAGTATGGTGACCCATACTCAGAATTAGTGCTCTGCATTTGTCCCATCCAAAGTGCACACACAGCAGCGAACATACACACACCGTGAACACACACCCGGAGCAGTGGGCAGCCATTTTTTGCTGCGGCGCCCGAGGAGCAGTTGGGGGTTCAGTGCCTTGCTCAAGGGCACCTCAGTCGTGGTATTGAAGGTGGGAGAGAGCGCTGTACATTCAATCCCCCCACCTACAATCCATGCCGGTAAGAGACTTGAACCCACAACCTTTGGGTTACGAGTCCGACTCTCTAACCATTAGGCCACGACTTCCCCCCAACTTATACATGAAGTATAAGTGAATGGTATTACAAATAAAAGCAAGGATGCACGTTATATATCAGTACCATTTAGCAAGTTAGAGTTTTTCCCATTTATCATGGTAATTTGAATATTTACTGTTAATATAAATATGATAATATGGTAATAAAATGTTTTTTGTTTTTTTATAGTTGTAGTTTTAGTTAACAATAGTAACAATGAAACTGACTATAGTTATTAATATTTCACTGGTTCTCCTTTTTGATTACAACAGCCATTCTTCTGGGCATTGCTCAACTGACAATAGGCAGATCCTCCGTACTTGTCTTGCAGTGAGAGATAGAATTGCATGCCTCATCAAAGACTTTATATTTTGCACAGTACCCATCTCACAGTGCTTTGCAATAATTCTACAGTTATCAATGTGTTTTTTTGTTTTGGTCATTTATTTAGAGAAAACAATAGAATTTAAATACTAGCCCAAACATGAAAATAATTCTTAACTTATTGTGTCGGCCAGAATTGTAAAATAATTGTAAAATAGCGCATTCCTAAAAATTGTTTTAAAACCACATGCATCAAAATCAAAATAGCTTTCCTTACTTTAACTCCTAAAATTCTTTGCACCGGCTCAGAATCATCAAAGACAACAAAGCCAAAGTTGGGGATCTTTCCTCCAGTGCCTTTGGTGTTGATTCGCAGCTCAACAACATTTCCAAATGCTTGATGGGAGAGACAAGAAGCAAATATGAAGATGACTGATTACCAGATATGAGAATGGATCAATGCAATGGTCACCACAGCCTTTAAAAAAAAAAAATAAATAAATAAATAAAACTTACTCATGAAGAAGTCTTTGAGTTCACTCTCATCAATGTCATGAGGGAGATTTCCAACAAACAGCTGATGACTGTCTGGATACCTGACAACCCTTCTGCTGTCCATTTCACTTGACTCATCTCCCCTTCCTAAGCAACACACAAGATTTAATCCGCTATGACTATACAGGGACCAACAACATCAACCTTTCTATATATCCATTAACAGCATTATTGCCCAAACAAAAGCTATATGCAATTAACAATGGAAAGACATATTTACCTTTATTCACAAAGCTGAAATGTGGCTTTCCAGTTTGAGAGTCAGAAGAAGAGACACCATCTAATGATACAAGAAAAAAGATCCAAAGAAAAAGTTCAAAAGTTCTGAAACACATTAATAACAAATGAAAGTTATCTGTAATAAAACAATTTGTACAGAAAGTGTGAAAGTATTTCGAAAGTTGTAAGTATTCAAGATTCATACCAGATCTAGGCCCTCTGGAGGTTACTGAAGGTCTGTCGCGGATACGCTGGTCACGTGGACGGATTGAAGCTGATGACACCTCCGGCTTGGTCTCAACTCTGGGCTGACAACATTAAAAATCAAGAAAGCATGCACATGAAGCATGGTTCTAGTAACTTTGAGTCAACAACATTATTTTATAATGAGAAAGAAAGATATTAATGTATTCATAAGTACTTACCTGGGAGTTTGGTGCTTTAACAACATGTGGTTGAGCTCCAGAGGATGGAATAGTCCCAGCAAGAGGCAAATTTTTGCTGGTCACAGAAGCCCAAGATGAAGTCTGCCAGAGATATGATAATTAAGAATATAATAAATAAGAAATACATAATTAAAATAGTAAAAATAACAGTAATCTAGAATTTTTTTTTTTTAATAAACCTAGGCAGGTCCTCCAACCAGCTATATCAAACTTTTACAATTAATAAGAATGTGGCTGCAAGATTAATATTTAATGAGCCGAAAAGGGCGTGTGTCACACATCTGTTTATCAATCTGCACTGGCTACCAGTAGCTGCTCACATAAAATTCAAGGCATTGATGTTTGCCTACAAAACCACCACTGGCTCTGCACCTCTTTACCTAAATTAATTACTTCAGACTTATGTGCCCTCTAGAAGCTTGCGTTCTGCAAGTGAACGGCGCTTTATTGTGCCATCCCAAAAAAGAAGCACAAAATCACTTTCACTGTCTTTTACATTAAATGTTCCCTCCTGGTGGAATGACCTGCCCAACTCAATCCGAGCCATCTTCAAGAATCGGCTAAAAACACATCTCTTCCATCTTTATTTTACCCTCTAATTCTAGCACTCTTTAAAAAAAACTTATTAAAAACACTTTACCCTTTAAAGACCATTTATTTTCTAACTGCTTGTTTTCTTTTAAAAAATGCCTCTAACACTAGCTTTCTCGATTCTATCTATTTGTTTTCTTTTTATTTACTATATAATTAACAAAAAAAAACCTTGCTACATGGACTGCGTTAGGCTAATTGAGACTTGTTATAGCACTTGCTTATTATTGCTCTTTTGTTGATTTTGATTGCTTCCATCGTCCTCCTTTGTAAGTCGCTTTGGATAAAAGCATCTTCTAAATAACTAAATGTAAACGTAAATGTAATGTAAAGATCAAAATTTACTTTGGGTGGTTCTTGTATGTTAGGTGGCAATTCCATAGGAACAGGAGACGGTGCCTTCTCCTCAAACTCCTCTACGACCTTCTCCTCTGCCTTGAGCTTCAGCTCCTCGATCTTGGGTTCTGGGGCAACCTCAGGCTCTAGTTCCATAACTGCTTCCTCATGAGCTTCTTCCACGCCATTGTTATAGCTGAAGGTGAAAAAGAAAGGGATAAAGGTATTTATATTTATTTTTATAAAATGGGAAGTAGGAATTCAACAGTACCATACCAAACGAGAAACCTCAACAATTCTAGAACATCACAGTTAGCTTTCTTTTAAGTTCCAAGTGAAATGTGGGTTACCTCACAGGATGGGGTTCATAGCAGTTTGCATTACTGGGGCTGTCCTGGAGGGGTTCGGGTGATGGTTGCCTGTCTTCTGGCTCATCAGTTTCTTCTTCGGACTCTGTCCCAACATAACACATAAATTAAAAAATTTATTGAAAACAAATCTAATGATAAAGTACCATCCTCTTGCTTTAAAACATTCCTGTACCTCTAAAGACACCAATTCACAAAATATAGCTGCAAGAGATTGAAAGATACTGATGAAATGGACTTGGGTGACTTCTGTAAAACATAATCAAGTCCTTTATGACTGACCAGATCTAGGAATTTGTATGGTTGACTTTCGTCTATAGTAAGGCATCACTGACTGTTTTTATCCTTAGATACTTAAGAGTTATATGAATCCCAAACGCTATATATTTACGAACAATAGGAGGCAGAGGAGACCATCATTTTATGAGGAATGCCCTTGTTAAAGTAGCTTTGTATAGATATAGTCCAACCCGCATCAATCTGAAAATGCTGCATCAATTTGATTGGTGTAATGAATGGAGAAAAAAAGCCCAGACATTCTGGGACGTAAAACATTGGTGTTCACCAAACTGAAAGAATATCTAACAAAAGAATTTTAAATTTGCAAATTCATAAAAGCCACATCCAGACAGAGAAAAAAAACTCAGATTCATTGGGTGAGCAGTTTCTTTAGAAGATTATTTGTAATGATTTGACTGAAAATGTCAAAGAAAATATTTTCAGGGTTGGACTTACGAGTACTTGAAGTTATTCTTGAAATTTGTTCCACATGTCCCCACGTGGGGATTTTTATGCAGATTTTAAGATTTTACCTCAAATGGTGTAGCAGAGCTGATGTTTGGAATATTGCAAATTTAACTGCTAGTTGCTAAGCAACCATATATCACATCATCTCAGAACGACACAAAATATAATTATTCACAGACCATTTATGCACTTAAAGTATGATGAATTTTAACTAAATGCATAAAGTTCAAAACGTGAAGAACAATAAATAAAGCAACAAATGAAAATCCCTGGGGTCCACGTAGCCTTTAAAAGTAAAGAAAAAGACTCCAAGCATAACATAGCTAGAGCAATACCAATGCCAAGACATACACTGCTAATACTTTTGGATATGAGAAGCAACAGTCTTTTTATAGATGCTGAATGTATGAACTGTATGCGTGTAGCAATCTTTAATTATCAACTAACCTTCATCAAGCTCCGCCTCAGAGTCACCAAAGACCTCATCTTCATATCGGAAGATGTCGTTGTGAACATAAAACTTATTGGCCACAGAACCCTAGACAACAATGAAACAAAAAGAGCAGTATATTTATAGGGAAAATCATGCTCACCATGCAGATTATCAGAATAGCCCATCCACTGTCTACACAGGTTAAAGGGTTAGTTCACCCAAAAATTAAAATTCTGTCATTAATTACTCACCCTCATGTCGTTCTAAACCCGTAAGACCTCCGTTCATCTTCGGAACACAATTTAAGATATTTTTGATGAATTCTGAGAGCTCTCTGACCCTCCCATAGACAGCAATGTAATTACCATAATCAAGGCCCAGAAACGTAGCAAGAAGATCGGTAAAATAATCCGGTAAAATAATCCATGTGACATCAGTGGTTCAACCGTAATTTTACGAAGCTACGAGAATACTTTTTGTACACAAAGAAAACAAAAATAACGACTTTATTCAACAATTCGTCTCCTCTGCGTCATCCTGGTGCAATTTTAGAGAATATCCACTGAATGCAAACAGCGTATGCAATTCTGTGTCAGCTGCGTCACGCGGATATGTTGTTTTTGTTCAAATCAAAGCATAAACAACGTAGAAAACGTATCCGTGTGACGCAGCTGACACAGAATAGCATACGCTGTTTATGTGCAGTGGATACTCTCCAAAATTGCACCAGGGTGACGCGAAGGAGACCAATTGTTGAATAAAGATGTTATTTTTGTTTTCTTTGCGCACAAAAAGTATTCTCATGGCTTTGTAAAATTACGGTTGAACCACTGATGTCACATGGATTATTTTACCGATCTCCTTGCTACGTTTCTGGGCCTTGATTGTGGTAATTACATTGCTGTCTATGGGAGGGTCGGAGAGCTCTCGGAATTCATCAAAAATATCTTCATTTGTGTTCCAAAGATGAACGGAGGTCTTACGGGTTTATTCTGAGAGCTCTCTGACCCTCCCATAGACAGCAATGTAATTACCATAATCAAGGCCCAGAAACGTAGCAAGAAGATCGGTAAAATAATCCGGTAAAATAATCCATGTGACATCAGTGGTTCAACCGTAATTTTACGAAGCTACGAGAATACTTTTTGTACACAAAGAAAACAAAAATAACGACTTTATTCAACAATTCGTCTCCTCTGCGTCATCCTGGTGCAATTTTAGAGAATATCCACTGAATGCAAACAGCGTATGCAATTCTGTGTCAGCTGCGTCACGCGGATATGTTGTTTTTGTTCAAATCAAAGCATAAACAACGTAGAAAACGTATCCGTGTGACGCAGCTGACACAGAATAGCATACGCTGTTTATGTGCAGTGGATACTCTCCAAAATTGCACCAGGGTGACGCGAAGGAGACCAATTGTTGAATAAAGATGTTATTTTTGTTTTCTTTGCGCACAAAAAGTATTCTCATGGCTTTGTAAAATTACGGTTGAACCACTGATGTCACATGGATTATTTTACCGATCTCCTTGCTACGTTTCTGGGCCTTGATTGTGGTAATTACATTGCTGTCTATGGGAGGGTCGGAGAGCTCTCGGAATTCATCAAAAATATCTTCATTTGTGTTCCAAAGATGAACGGAGGTCTTACGGGTTTAAAATGACATGAGGGTGAGTAATTAATTACAGAATTTTCATTTTTGGGTGAACTAACCCTTTAAATAAATGTAATTATATACATATGCTGTATATACTAGTATTGTGGGGTAAAACTAACAGCAGACATGTAGCAAAAAAACAGAAAGAAAAGTATATATGTAGCTTGTGTTTTTTTTATTATGGGCAAATCCATTATATATTTTCATGTCATCTGCTTTTGGGTTATTTTCACACTTTATATTGGGCATGCCATTTTTTCATTTACGTTAACTTTAAAAATAAATATAGTATTTGAAGCTTATGCCTGTAACTCATTTACGACTGTGAAAATAAACCTACCACTTATTGACAAATTCAGGGTCTTTCATATTTAACAATGTATAAATGTGGTGGTGTCAGGAGTCAGGAGAAAATTACTATTATGTTCACTTTTACATCCAACTACAAAACACCTGCATTGCTTACGAAACGTTGTCGCTACAGCTGCTTGAGCGCAGAGAAAATGACGGACAGCATACAACTGGCTGAGGGCAGAAATATGCTATTGTCCACACACAAAGATAAGACATTTATATGCAAACACCATGTAAAAGTGAATTTTGCATCCGATGTCCCCTTTAAGACCAAGTTAAGAACATTTAAGGATTAAATTAAAGGGAACTCAATATGCATCTAAGTTTTCTAAATGTAAATGCCTAGAGAGCACACAATGAGTTGAATTACGAACATTTCAGAGTTTAAAAATGCAACATATTTCCATTACTTTTTAATTCATTTTACAAAGCAATAGATAAAGGCTTGAATAGTTTTGTTTCCAACCACTAGAAAATGGAAATAACCATAACTTTCACTATACCTGCAGAAAAAGATTAGTATTTTTGTCTTGGTTTTCAATATGAATGTCTAAAGATTCTTAACTCAAGAAGCAAAGTAACATAAGAAGTTGGTTTTATGAGAAACTGATAAAAATGCAGTAAGTTTATGATTAAAAAAAGAACAAAATCTGTCTGTGAGCTCAGAAACATGAAAACAAGTTGATATTTGTTCTTGTTTAAGCATAAACTCACATAATTTTGTTCAGCTTTTCAGATAAGAGACTTTATATCCTCATTTTGCATCTCATGTAAATGTATCTTGAGTTAAGGATGTTTAGATATTTGTACTGAAAACAAGACAAACATTAAGGAAAATATTCATTTTTGCAGTGTCTGCGACATTAAATACCATAACATTACAAATGTAAGACTTTCTGTTCCAATTTAACACAATTTAAAGGCCTTGATTTGTGTAAGGACCTTTGTAAGACCTGCAGAAACCCCATACTAAACACCAACTGTGGAGGTGAATACAGTGCAGATGATTATTTGGTGTTTAATAAACTGACAAATTTGTAGAAATTCGTTTTCAGTAAGCAATGCTAAAAAAGACTAAATAGGTGCTTCAGGGTTTTATGCTGCAAAACAAAACTTCTAAGGAGGTCTATCCTTTTTTACAAGGAATGTACAGGGGATTCACGTGTCATGTTATTATTATACACACCTCTGGAGCCAGTACAAATGTCTGTAGGAACTTCCTCATGGGCTGCCCATTATTGGAAAGTTCTCCCATCACCTGGACAACCACACCATCACTCAGAGTGGCATGGGCATCCACATGCCGGATTTTTGTGTGGCACTCACTGAATTGCAGGGACATTACCTTCTTATGTATCTCCTAGACATTAGGAGAACAGATGCTGGTGAATATATTTAAATGTCTGATGTTTTGACAGGTTATACATGAACACTCAACAAACATCAAGACTTACAGCTTGCCCATAGACTGCCTCTGAAAGCTTTCCATTCGAATCCAGTCCACCATGGACATAGGATGAGTTTCGTCCATAGAATCTGAATTATGAGAAAGTTTTTTTAATTTTTGCAAATGAAAAATTCCATGAAAGATGAACTCATGAAATTATGATTTTACAAAGCATACCTGTGCAGAAAGTCTGGTGCCTTATTGAGAAGTGTGTAATATTGTCTCACAAACTCCCGCCCTACCAGCAGGGGACTGGGCTTCTCCATCACCATTTCTTTGCTAAAAAGTCAGAATCTGAAGGGGTTTGAAAAATAAGAGAATAAAATAAATAAATGCATATATATATATATATATATATATATATTTTTATTCCTGTCTTGTCACTGTCATTCTGTTGCACTGTGGGGCATCTGTCACTAAAACAAATTCCTCATATGTGTTAACATACCTGGCAATAAAGCTCATTCTTCTTCTTCTTCAGAAAGGCCTGGTAACAAAAGGTTGCTGGTTTGGATTCCACAAGGATTTATCACATCGTTATGTATCATTTAAACTCTTAAACCCTGGTTTTATTTAAAATCAGGCTACTTATTGGTTACTGTGGCATAAAGAGTAGAGACTTGTGGGCGGGTGTTGAGGTGTGATGCAGGCGTTAAACACTTTTAACATTCAAAGTCTGCTGTTTAAATACCATTTACCTATTTTCTTACCATAAATTAATAAATTATAAAGTACAAAATATTAACTAAAACCAAAACAGAAATAGATTAAAGCTACACAGAAATACAATTTTACAAAATTGCTAAAACTTAAACAAAAATTTTAAAGAAAATGGAAACTATAAAAATAAAAGCTAATACAAAATATCAGTGAATAATATGATTTATAAACATATTTTGAACAGTATTTGTCTTGTCACTGGCGTCCATTGAATCCTTCACTAATCTCAGGCCATGTATGTGTGAAATTGATCCAGCTTTTTCTCTTCTCAGCCAAATGACTGTCACTTCTGGCAATCAACTAGTGGAGTGTCAAGAATGTCATAATCTGTATCATCAGGAGTGTCACAAACCTCAGGTTACTGACAAGGATGTCAATGACCCACGGCTTGTGTGGTACTGTGCTCGATGCACCAGGCAAATGAAACGAATGGTAAGAATTTTATGATAAGAAGTCAGATGCATATCACTTAAGAACTTTCACATAATAGTTGCAACACTCAGTGTGATGCTTATTAATGTCTCAGGCCCAAAAGACCCAGAAACCTCCACAGAAACCAGCTCCTGCTTTGGCAACAGCGGCACCTATGTTGAAAGATCCACTAGTGAAGAAAGCTGAACTAAAGCCCAAACCGGAAACAACAGGTTCATTCCAGGCCTTTAAAAGAACGGAGGTGAAGGTGAGTGTATTCACACCGGTACAGATTATGGACCAGGGGTCTCAAATTCAAAGTACTTGAGTCAGTTGAAAAATTACAACAAAGTCTTAAGTGTTTCACAGCCATGAATTAAAATGATACGGTTACTGATGCATGATAGACTGACTACCAACTAGAGTTCAAAAACATTTGCTGGCTTCAGTGTAAAGGTCAGTCATTATTTAAATACAGAAAACACTCGCACAAAAGCACATGCAAGCGTTTGAAAGCCGTGTCTATCAGTGGATGTGCAGATATGTTAGGGATCCATTGATAGACACGGCTTACAAATGCTCCCGTGAGCTACTGTGTGAGCGCTCGGTGAAGAGCGTGAAGTGATCATCATTTTAGCCAATCACAGTCATATCTGTTGACCGTGTGAACACTATGGCCAATCAGCGGTGTTTAAGAGTCCACTCAACAGCGTTCAAATGTTAGCGGGAAATGGACGTTTTTATAATTTCAGTACCAACTGGTATCGCGGTCAGTGCTTTTGACAACACTAGTAAGGACATTTATTATGTTACAAAAGATTTGTATTTTAAATAAATGCTGCTCATTTGAACTTTCTATTAATCATAGAAAAAGTTTCAACTAAAATAATTAAGCAGCAGAACTGTTTGATGATAATGTTTTTTGGGCACTAAATCAGCATAATCCTTGTTAAGTCTGATATCACTGTTTCTGGGTCCAAGCACTCTATCAGATGGCAAACGCAAACAACAGACAGTAGTAATATACAATCACAGTATACTGTAATACTACAGGAAAAAAATCATGATCCTGACCTTTTATCTCCATACTGAAATCTCGGAAGGACAGGCAGTGTTTCGTTTTTTTTTATTTTTTATAAATTAATAAAATATTGGTGAACAGGATGGCTGGCTGCTGAAAATTCAGCTTTGCCATCACAGTAATTAATTCCATTTTAAAGTATTTTCAAATAGAAAAGTTATTTTTAAATTGTAATAATATTTCACAGTATTACTGTTTTTACTATACATCTGATCAAATAAGTCATGATCCTGACCTTTTATCTCCATACTGAAATCTCGGAAGGACAGGCAGTGTTTCGTTTTTTTTTTTTTTTTTATAAATTAATAAAATATTGGTGAACAGGATGGCTGGCTGCTGAAAATTCAGCTTTGCCATCACAGTAATTAATTCCATTTTAAAGTATTTTCAAATAGAAAAGTTATTTTTAAATTGTAATAATATTTCACAGTATTACTGTTTTTACTATACATCTGATCAAATAAGTGTCTTTTTTGTGTTCAGGCGTCTGTGGCATCAGGAAACTCTTCCAGCAGTAGCTCGTCTTTGCCCCCAGGCCTTACAGGATGGGCCGCTTTTACCAAGACCTCAAATGTAGGACCTTCCAGTACCAAGTTGAGCACCAGTCAGCCGGGTAGCAGTAAATCAACCCCACCTCCCTCGGGCTCCAAACCTGTGGGACTCTCTGCGCTGGCCAATGTTAAGCCCGGTCTGGCTACTAAACCTTCAGGAAGCAGCAGTGGAAGTGGTAATGGAAACAACGGCTCTAGCACGGTACCCATGAAACCACCCCCTCCACTCACACTTGGCAAGCAGGTGTTGAGCCGCTCAACGAGTGGAGATAGCTTGGGGAAAATGACTGTGACTGGATCACAGTCACCTGGGGCAGCACCCTCTAGCAGCCTGGGAGGCAACGGTGGGTCAGGAGGCAATGGAGGGGGCAATGGGGGCAACAGTGGTGGCAATAGCAGCAGCAGCAGCAACAACAACAGCAATGGAGCAAAAGCCTCAGCTGATGGCAAGACGCCCACTTCCCAGGAGTCTCAGCTCAATGCTATGAAACGGCTGCAGATGGTGAAGAAGAAAGCAGCACAGAAGAAACTGAAGAAATGAGGAAGAAAAAGCCAGACTAGTATGTTAAAGAGCAAGTCAAATCCTGTTTTTCAAATCAAATATAATTGAATTTGAATGTTACTGGTCTTTCAGAAACGGTTTGGTTTGAAGATGTGCCTCATTCTTTCTAAACCAGCCACTTTACTGAAAACAAGCTGCTCGTTTTAATGATGTGTTTAATAAAAACACCTTTTTTAGAAAAAATGGATTGTTGTTATTTTAAAACTTTTTTTAATTTTTATGCTAATGCTTTAAGAAGTGTAGGAGATGAATGAACAACAGCCCGCAAACAAATAGACATGGTAATTTGTGATCTCAGACCGATCAGTTTCAGGCCTCAAACTAATTTAATGAATTATCTGAAGGATTCAGATTTATGGATTCAATTTTTCACATTCCTCTTAAATAATACAATTAAAATATCACTTTCATGACCACATTACAAAGAACACTCTTTTTTCCATATTGTGATCTTTAAATATTTCTTATAAATATTAAGGGCTTCAGTGGCTAAAATGTTTTCTTCTACTTTCAGTCACTGTTGTTTTGTCCCCCACTGACCTGATTAACCTACAGAAGTTGATACAGACTATAAGAAGTCACCTGACATAACAACCAGAATGCTGGTCCTGTTGTGAAGCAACAGTCTCTGTGGAGTTAATGAGAGGCTAGTTTATAGACATGTGATGAAAGAATATCCTGCGGGGACTTCATTACTTTCTGCCAAAAAGTTATGGAGTGCTACCACAGATAGGATTCATCCAAAGTTTCCACCAGCCGTATGAATGCTTTCTCTTGGTTTAAACTCTCATGTGAATTCATAGCATAAACATGGGTACAAAAAAACAAAAACGTTCAATTTGTTAACATTAGTAACAAATTGAATGACATTTTGTTACAGCATTTATTAATCTAGGTTAAAGATAATGTATAAATATGCTATTGTTTATCGTTAATTAATATTTATTCATGATACACAAACTACTGTTTATTTATACAACTTGCAATGTTAAAATGTATGAAGAAATTAACATTAACCAAGACTAATGAATACAGTAAAACTTATGTTTCACCAAGAAATTTTTGTTTTATGCACAACAACCACTCATTTACAAATAAATAACAAAACATATGCTACTGTTCAAAAGTTTGGGATCAGTAAAAAATAAATTAATACTTTTATTTAGCAAGGATACATTAAATTGATCAAAAGTCAACAGTACAGACATTTATACTGTTACAAAATATTTATTTAAAATTAATGCTGTTATTGTGAACGTTCTCTTTTTCAAAGAATCCTGAAAAAATCAGGATTTCACAAAAATATTAAGCAGCACAACAATTTTCAACTGTGATAAGAAATGTTTTTCTGAGTGCCATATCAGCATATTGATATGATTTCTGATGGATCATGTGACACTGAAGACTGCTGAAAATTCAGTTTTGTCCTCACAGGAATAAATTAAAATTAAGTATATTAAAATATGAAACAGTTATTTTAAATTGTAATAATATTTCACAATATTACTGATTTTACTGCATAAAAAAAATCTAATAAATGCAGCCTTGGAGAGCATAAAGAAATCTTAGTCTTACTGACCCCAAACTTTTGAATGGTAGTGCGTGACCTGTTATTTATTTGTAAATGAGTGGTTACAGCCTGCAGAACTAAAATTTCTTGTTAACACTTTACAAAAAAGGTTCTATATTTTAACATTAGTTAATGACTATCAATATTTCATAAAACTTCCTTATTTTGTACATTATTATTATATATTTTTCTTCTAAAAACAAATGTAAGGGCATTTGAATACACATAAACAGCCTTACTCCCAGTATGCACCAGCCAGCGGCTGCTGCTTCCCATAGGGTCTTTGTCTTCCAGCAGGGCCACCAGCTCCCCCTCCAGCAGGCTGATGTCATTTTCCTGACAGGCATTGCAGTTACGCTTGAGCTGATAGAGTCGATCCACTGCAAACTCTTCCAGGAGCCAGGCTCTGTGCTCCTCTGTCTGTCTGGGGATCTCTGGGACCTGAAGAGAATTTTCAAGTCAGCTGGGACCTTAATGGGACCTTATGGATTTACCCCTTTTTTTTTTCATTTGTAATCCTACCATTTTCTTGTCCCGTTTTTCAAAGCTCACTTTTCGCTCCATCAGCTTTTGGGAATTATCTTTGAAGAATCCAAGGTTGCTCAGCTCCTCCATGATTGAATTTTGGACTTCACTAAAGTTTGACAAGGGAACCTAGATGACCAATGGTTAAAATGGCATATTAAACATCCATGACAGAATTTAATAAGTCTTAAAATGATTTAAAATTAGTTATATCAACATAATCTTTCAGAGTGAAAAAACGTACATACAGTTGTTTTAAACTTACATAATATTTTGAGTTAATTTGTTTTTATTAAAAAGGGTCCTATTATGCTTTTTCACTTTTTCAACTTTAGTTAGTCTGTAATGTTGCTGTTTGAGCATAAAAAATATCTGCAAAGTTACAAAGCTCAAAGTTCACTTCAAAAGGAGCTATTTTATTTAACAGAAATCACTTTTCAAAAACTACAACGAACAACTCATTTGGACTACAACGCATATTTTCCGGGATTTGTGATATCACAAATATCGACGAATGGGACGAGACCTGGTTGAGCTGCACTAGAGAAGGCCACGAGTGTTATCACTATGTCGGAGACATGCTAGCTTTCCCAAGGCAGACGAACTTGTTACAAGTTACAATCATACAAGTTACTTGTTACAAGTGATTTCAATCATACGGGTTTAAATCGCGTTCAAATTGATTTGATTTTGACGCAATATTTACACTGAAGTAAATAATTGCCAACTAATTTTCAGAGAAAGTTGCTAAAGGAAGGTCGATTTGTTGCTAAAAGTTGCTAAATGACGTTGTGATGTCATTGCACAATGACGTCATTGCGTAATCATGACGCAAAATTATCACATCATCAAATCTCAGCAAAAAATATATTTTATATATGTTAATTTAGATTTGTTTGTAAAATAATATGCATGATATAATATTAAAATATAAATAACTGTATTTTTAAATACATTGAATTATTGAAAACTTACACATTTTTTAATGATTACAATAAGTTTTTTAATAGCTAGTAAACAAGTAATTCTACACATTCTCAACAATTATGCTTTAAGCGGTGTATTAGTAGTTAGTTAGTATGCTACACTCTAAGAAAAGTCTGTAAAAATAAGGCACAATCTACTGTTAAAATGAAAGAATTTTCCGTAATGGTTTTTTACCTGCATTTTAAATTATGCATTGTGTTTTTGGGTTACAATGGATGATGGATAATGGATAATGTCCTGGAAGATTTTTCTTACAGTGTACTAACTGATCAACAATTGCAGGTACACGCTACTAACAAAGTGTATCATAAATGAACAATTATTCAATTATCAAATTATTCAATTATTATTAGTATTATTATTAAATTGAACAATTGCAAATAGCAGCTAACTCAATTCACGTGATGTGTGTACTGCTAGGCATCTGTGGTTTCCTCTTTTTGTGTAATTTGGATGGAAAATTGCTAAATTGGCAACACTGACCAGGCGCCGAGTGCTGCCAATCACAACACACACTGGTCCAGCTAACCAATCACAGCACATTTCGTATTTCAGAAGGTGGGCCTTCATTTGATACAGGAACTATTCAATCCGTTCATGCCAGACTGGGGAGAGAGTAGGGTTGCCAACCGTCCCATATTAGCCGGGATGTCCTGCATTTTGGGCCTAATTGATTTGTCCCATACGTGACCTCCCTTGTCCCATTTTTTGACTGCTACGCTGATCTAACCACTGACTGATACAACAGCAGCGGTGCTGATCACTTGAGAATGATCACCGATACTTGTCATCATCCAATCACAGCCCCCCTCACGCAGTATACGTTCGTGTTTTGACTTCAGTAAATCAGTTTTGGTGAATACAAACAAGGTGATTATTCTTCATGAGTCCAACATCCCACCGCGCATGAGATGTGATCAGTAAGGGAAGTCTTTCACTATTGTAATGTTGTTAAATAGAGAAAAAAATTTAACTAATAGCATAAATCTTAACCGTGGACCTTAATCTTGAAACACAAAATGACCAATAAAAAGGTGTCAAGCACCAAAAGCAGCCCATATTAAATCTATAAGCTGTCTTTAATTGAAAAATACGCATTTTCATGCATACTATATATAGGCTATATACTGTATGTGTGTGTGTGTGTACACAGTCAACACCCCCCCCCCCCCCCCCTTTCTAAAGTTGGCAACCCTAGGAGAGAGGTGTTGTAATAATGTAAAATATGTGAAAAAGAATGTGAATGTGTCAACCTTGTATGAGAGCCTGTTCTAGTACACCCCCAAAACAAAATCAATACTTTGTAAAAGAGCATAGCAGAAGTCATAGAGGTTAATATCAGCTTGATATGTGGGCCTTCGAATATTGGCTTGTAGTCGAAATGGTTGAGAACCCCTGCTGTGGATGAACAACCACTGTAATATTTAAAACCCATATTACACTTTTGAGTTTTGGTATTTATATGCATTATTGCTGTTTTACAGGAAGTAACTGTAACTAAATTTGATCTTGTAGCCTATGTGAATTTTTCCATTTCAGATTTTGTGGGAAGCTTTATTGTATGCCTGAAGATCCTTTATGCTTAGAATATAATAGGCTAATGGTTTTGGATAACACAAAGGTTGTAGGTTTTAATCCAAGTGTGGACCAGAGCAGTAACCTGATAAGTTACAAAATAAAATAAAAAATCACCATTTTGCCCTTGAGCAAGATACTTAAACCTGAACTTTCTAGGATGAAAAAGGGCTCTGTCACTTTCTCTACATTTCATTGTGATTTTGTTGTTTTTTAAAACTAACAATTTTCTACCTTCTTTAACTCACCGGAATCTGTTGGATAGGCGGCTGAGCTGCTTCCATCAGCTTTCTAATTAATTTTACTACACAAATCAAGCAGTTGGTGAGGATTGTCCTGACAGCTCGGTTGAAGTATTGCAGCTCCTCAAGCAACTGGGCGTTGAGGGCCAGGTAATCTTTTTTGGCCTGGCCTTGTTCCTCTTTGGAGGATCGGGAATCCAACTGGCTGCAGTAGTCCAACAGTTTATCGTAGCGCTTCTGTATCAGCTTCTGT